CCTCATATAGTAGGCGAGGCACTCTAAAAATGGTATGCTCCGAAAATGTTGAAGAAAGTGCTTGCAGCTTCTCCTCTATGCTAGTGCAAACCGTGGTCGTTATTTCATCTGCCATTACCTGTATATAGAAAAACAGAAAAGAAAAATGGAATTCAAGATAAGGATACGGGCCGGATACCTTATTGATCCTAATTGACAACTAAACACTTTAATTTGGTAATGGAAAGTTAGAAACTCACACCCCCGTTAACCGGCTTTTGTAACAATTGATCTTTGCGGCTTTGAATCAACTGCCAAAAAGAATAACTTTTCTCTTGCTTGAATGTGGCACAAAAAGAAGGAAGAGAAAAATGAAAAATTTTCACATAAAATAGAGATAAAAGAAATTCGTAATAATTTGATTAATTTCCTCTGAAAAATTTTAGGATCGTGACAAGTACTGTGCATACGCGGTTTCGGTCCTGGTCAAATGGACCGGAAATTGCAAGGAAGAGAGGCACTATTAGGGCTAGGCATTTGAAACCGAACCAACGGGTTACTTGAAACTGAATTGAAAAAATGAATTTGGTTTGGTTTCAATTATTTTTTATTTTTATTTTTCCGATTTTTATATTAACCAAATAATTTTGGTTCAATTTCGGTTGAATTTTTTAAAAATTGAAAAGAAAAAATAAGCCCATTGAAAACTAAAATTAGGATAAATACGATAAAATATGATAAAATATAATCTATTATTAAAAAAAATAATTGATTAATATTTATTTAGTAAAAATCAAAATCGAACTGATTTTATTGATAATTGAACCATTTGATTTGTAAAAATTTTGATTCGGTTTCAATTCTCAAAATTAAAAAAAAAAATTCAGTTATTTTAAAACCGATTTCGATTTTAACCAAAATTGGTTTTTGCCCACCCCTATACACTATAGTTTTTTTTCTTCTTTTGATCAGCTAAGTCAAATTAGAAATTTAATTTTGATTAGCTAAGTCAAATTAGAAATTTTATTACGAGGACAGGTACTGAATACCTACTATGTATTTTTTGCTTTCTTCTTTTGATCAGCTAAGTCAAATTAGAAATTTAATTTTGATCAGCTAAGTCAAATTAGAAATTTTATTACGAGGACAGGTATTGAATACCTACTACGCTGTTACAAGAAGAAAATAAATTCCCTGCCTGCGATAACCGCCTTGTTTTTCCCTAGTGAAAGATACTTTTGTGATTCAAGATGCATGTAGAGAACTTGATAATCTATATCTATGTGTATAAAATACTATTCTATGCATTCAATAGGATATGCAAAATATATGTGTAAAAATATATGAAATAATATTATTATTATAAATGAAAAAAGGAAAAATTATAAATGATAATGAAGGTGGTAGATGAAGAGGTAAATAAATGAACAATATGCAAACGATAACAATAATTGATTGATGAATAAATGTGGAAGATGAAGAGGCAACCAAAAGAAGAAAAATGAAAAAAAAAGTTATCCAACAAAAACAAGATGTAGAGTTAAGTGATTAAAACATGAAAATATATATTTAAAGTATGCTTAATCATTAACATTTGTAGAATTATGAATTTAAAAGTTTTATTTTTCTACAAGTAATTTCATAAGTATTCATTTTATTCATGTTGTGTAAATTTTATGGCGATTGAAGGTTTGATGTTAAATGGAGAAGAATTAGAAAAAAAGAACTTAAATGCAAAGAGCTGAAAAGATGAGGATCCAAGGATAAATCGGAAGTTTGAAGGCTCAAGTGCGATTTTCTGCATTCTTGATCAAGGAGCAAATTGCAAAGATCAGAACTATGATGATCAACTTGCGCGGAATCTAGGAGTTAGGGAGCAGGACTGTCATTCTGCCATTAATCAAAATTGCACAAAAGGCCAAAAAACCGACGCGGAGGACACGGGGATGCAGTAGGCGCTCCACTCAAAGTGCCCGCACCTTGTAAAGAGTGTCGACCTCTTGCGCGATTTTTCAGACAAATCATATCTGTACTAATTATTTTGATGTCGGACCCACAACTCTTCTAGTTAGGGGTTTCTAAAATCGATAAATATTCATCCAAATTATTCTGGAGAAAGGGGCTTCGGAGGCTGGAGAGGCTTCTATTTTCTTCTCCGAAACTAGAAAATTATGTGTTAGGGAGGATTTTCATTGAAAAGTTTGATTTGTTATTTTATTTTAATTTTTTTGTAGGTTTTATTGTTTAATTTTATTTTTAAAAAATTATTAATTATTTTCATATTTGAAAATCCTGAAAATTATATTTATTAAATTTTATATAAGATTAGTCATACCCTTTTTATATGTAAATTGTTAGAATATAATTGATTAGTAAATTTATTTTACAGGTTGATTCTTTACTGCAGTATTATCGATTAGATATATTGTTGCTCTTAGATTGCTTGTAATGATAAATCAATTTGTTTTTCATTGAAATTAATTTTTCTCAAAATAAATACATTAGTTATTATTATTGGTCTTCACAGTCAAATCTTTCGATTGTTTGTTTGGGATGTAAAATATGCAATTGAGTAATAAATAGGAATCAAAATTTATAACAGTTAAACAAATCAATTAAATGAACCCTGAAGTTTTATTTATCATAATATTGTGTTCATCATAATATTGTTTTCAATCTTTTATAATTATCATTCTTTATTTAAATATTTTTATTCTCAATTTTAGAATTCATCTTTTAATTTAATTTCTCATTGTGATAATTCTTTTTATTGATTTAATATGGTTTCCCTTTAGATTCGACACCTAAAGTTACACTGCAACAAACACTTAGCTTAAGGGTATTAATTTTGGGACGAGATATCATTAAGTATCAATTATTTAAACTTCAAACCTTTTTCCATTGTTGTTTTGTTTTAAAGATTTTTTTTAATCCAAAATTTGGTTGCAAGACATAGTTGTTTAGATTTTTTTTTAATACCAATAGTTATTTGATTTTAACCACTAATTTTTTTCTCTAATTATGTTACATCTTTTCTTTTATTTTGAAATACTTTGTTGATATATACAAAATGCTACCTTATGCATTAAATAGGGTATGCCATTTTGCATTTTGTTTTAGTTTTCTATTTAATAATAACATATATAATATTAAAAACATTTAGTATGCTTGTGTAAACTTATCTTTCACATATGGAGAAGACCAAAAGGCACATCCCTTTCTCTTTTTTTTTTTTTGGTTTAATATATATGGAACAAAAAATAATAATGAATATATTGGTTTATTATATGTCAAATGATTGGATAAACATGTCTGTTAGTCTTATTTAATTATTGTTGTTGTTATTAATATTATTATTTATTATTATTACTATTAATATCAATTTCAAAATATGTGTTACGAAAAAGTAGAAATGAAGCATATTTTATTTGACTAGTATTGATGTCTATGAAGATCAATTAACTAATACATTATTTAAAACAAAATCTAATTTGAGTTATTAGAATATCTAATTTGTTCAAATTGTTCACCATGAAAGACCCAAGCATTAGGCTTAAATGTTTTTTCTCCAATTAATTTAAAATAATATTGAATAAATTGTCTATAATTAATTGATCAAATATCATATTTTATTCAATTAAAGAAAAATAAAATTCATTTTAAAGGATTAAGTTTAATTCTTCAACCTTTACTTGACAGTTTAATCTTTTTTAAAATTAACAGTTCTCGAGTTCATCAAATTAAATTGTTTTCAACTATGACAACAAACACACATGGAGCATTAAGTTTACAAAGTTTTAAAGAGAATTGCGTTTCGAGATTTTGATTGTTGGATTTATTGTATTCTAACTCTAAAAACTGTGGGAAATAATACGAATAATATGCAAAGCATATATAGCCGTCAAACTCAAACTGCTTCTTTTGTCATATTTTCCCCTTTAAATCACAATTTCCCTCTGGTTTCATAATACATCCTTCTCGGGTAACATATCAGTGAAATTTTAACATGTAAGAGTGAGTAAACTAATAATAAAAATGGGTTATCTACTAGACTAGTGTCCTTCTGTTTTAATTCATAAGCACATCTACGTACGGAAAACTCCTTGGACCTAACTCGAGCTTTTATGATAGAAAAGTTGTTTTGAAAGCCTGGCGAATGGAAGCTATTAAGAGTTTTGTATTTTTCTTAAATTGTGTCGATTTATGAAGCTTTCTTAAAATGAATTCTATTCACCAAAGCAGCTGGGATGATCTGTTTTCTAGTTTGTTATTCCTAAGAGAAGGTATATATACCTCTTTCAGTAGCCTGAGGTTTTGTCCTATTAATTTTGGTGGAATGGAATTTAGTTTTAGGATGTTTTTTTTTTCAGCTAAAAGAATATGGGGCAGAAAATAGGCTGATGTGTTTTAAATTCAAGGCGTAGATTATGCGGTGGTCCAAGTTTGCAAAGCAGACTCACATGCAATAATAAAAACCTACTAATTTATCATTCATCAATAATGGCCCAACAGAACCAGATCAAGCTTTGGTCCCTTGAATGCTATGATATTGTTTGACCAAGTAAGTACTAATCTAGCATATCAATGTACGTCCCAGTCTCCAGAATCCAAAGTTGGACAACCATCTCCCTCCCTTATCACCAGTTCCTAGACTTGTATTGAACCATGAAGAACACTTCAAAAAGGCTCTGCAAGCTGCATTAGTCTCATTACACAAGACGCATGTGAGCCTATTGTCTCTGTGTACAATGACATCAGTGGCATAGAAGAAGATAAACAATTATTCATGTTTATTGCATCTCAGAATTTGAATTGCTGTTTGAAAACCAGAGAGAGATTAAAAACTAGACAATTTGGTATATCAAACAAGGGAATGCGGGGTTGTGATATGCTTTCACATAATGCACATGAGACATCCAGCCTGTCGCGGCTGGGCAAATGTGGAGTGAAGATTCACAAAAAGAAAAGGAAAAAAAAAGGAAGAAGAACAAGAAGAAGAAGAAACCATGGATCATTAAGTGTGCCACCTGACACAGTGATACTGATGCAAATGCTGATTATGCTAACAGAGTCTAGATCAAGGATGTTAATTTATAGAGTAAGGTAGAAGACAAGCACACACTGTATACCCAATTCTTCTTACCCGATATGCATATTACAAAGTTTAAGTAACCTTATTTGCACAAGCAGTTTTCATCTTGAATAACATCAATTAATCATCAGAAAACTTAAAAAAAAAAACAAAAGGATTGATAATTATGAGACAATAAAAGTTAATATTGATTCTTGCACTTACAACTAAGAAGTATTTGTTGACAGTGGTTTTATCTTCTCCAACAACTTCTCGGCTTCAATAAACTGGCCTAATGGCCCCAAAGATATATATTTTATATGTTTCCATCTGTTCAAACTCTGGACGGATTAAACCAGGAATCTTTGAAACCTAGTTCGATTTTCAAGATAGAAAATAAAACAAAATAAAAGCTACCTACGGCCAGGTTTTCATCTTGTCTTCTACTAAATCTCCTTTTTTTGGGTAAATTGTTTAAGCATCTGATTTTCTTTGTACTCTTTTCTGTCATCTGATTGTCTTCATGAATTCCTATATGGTGGATAGATAGATAGCTTTTCTTCTGCTGCTGCTAGTTGTTTTGTGATTTAACTCTTATTTTTCATTTTTATTGTATTTTTTCTATCTATTATTTGATTTATTTTTCTTTTTCTCTCTTCCTTTTGTAGCTGGTTGAATGCACATACTTGTGGGGCGGAGGCAGAAATTTTTTTCAGGGGGGGCAAAATACTAAAATTTTCAAAGTTCAGGGGAGGCTAGATAATTTTTTATATACCAATTTGCAAGATTTTCAAATTTCAGGGGGGGCGAGCGCCTCCACTCGCACCCCTGGCTCCGCCATTGTTGTGGGAGCTACATGATTTACGTGGTAATGAAGCAAAAACATCAGATGGAATACATCTTCTTCCTGCTGGCTTTGATACTATTTTAGGTGTCAAACCACACCAATATTCAATGCACTGTGATGCAATAACAAAAGAAATTAAGCTGGCAATTGCCTTACTCGCACTTCTAAAGACTTCTAGAAAAGTAAAAGTGTTTTAATTCCTACATAATTAATTTTGGATTTATCCAAGCTGTCAGACGCCTTCAAAATATTTGAATTTGACTTTTGGAAACGGCCAAACAGTCATGGAAGAGCTGAGCTCCAAATGAAGGCAACAGATGATGGTAGTTTTCATGCTGTAGTTTCATGGTAACAACATTTATATCTGCCTTTATTTGTGTCACAAATTTTTTTTTCCTAAGATAGTCTATAAGCTTTTTCTGAAAGCGTGCCTTTGTGCCTCCACTCTTGTTGCATGTGGATACTTCAGCTTGATCGTGAAGGAACAGTCTTTTATTCAACTGCTCCTCAATGGATAAATTCACCAATCAACACAGGTTAGTTCCAGACATATAGTTTGTGCAAGTAGGCATGTTTAAGGTTTTTGTGCTAATAAGGAAAGATATTTCAAAACATTGGGGAAATGCATTTTATTGTTTTTTTGTTATATGATATGAAGAGTGAAGACCCTGCAGTTGAATGTGAATCCAGAGGGAAATTTTGAAACAGAAGATTATATATGTGTAAATGTATAGATAAGTTATATTGTTGAGGTTTTTGACCATTAACTCATGCTTTTCTGATGCTCCACTAGGTGACCGGCATTGGTGTGACCATTGGAAACAATGTGTCTGGTTCCTTCCTGGAAAGGGTGTATTCATATCCAAGGGACAAGAAGTATTATTAGAGGCTATTCATACTGATACTAGTATCTCATATAACCTGAAAACCCTAGTCCCAAGGACTGACACAATACAGCATGATAATAAATTTGAGGATTTTCAGCTCACAATACCACCTGAAAGAGTTGCAATTTATGGAGACAGTAATTGGAGACTGTCTATGTTAATGGCTCTAAAAAATGCTGTAAGATCTCTCTCTTGACTCCAACCATGCTTGTTAAGAGTCTCCCTCATGCATGTTGTCTTTTTGTGCTCCCCTTAAAAAAGTTTCATAGTTGGTGCTGTTCTCAAAATTTGAGTACTGCTAATTTTCTATGCTATTTCCCTCCTTTTGTTTTGGCACCCCTCTTTATGTAAATAATTTTCTTTATAGTTGCAGGGAAGAGATAGCCCAGTATGTGTTGTTGCAGATGATAGCATTTTTCTAACACTTCTTGCTGCAAATCTTTCAAAAACATCACACGTGATATCCTTGTTTCCTGGTCTGAGGGACAGGGGTGCACAATATATTGAAGCTGTTGCTAGTGCAAATGGTTTCTCAGTGTATCATGTAAAAGTTATTGGAAATATGAAAACATGCTTGACGATGCATGATACTTGGCATAAGAAGGTAAACATTTCTTGATTTCTTCACTCTTCTGCTTAGCTCACATGTATGACCTACTTTCAGAATTTAACTGTGCTTTACTTGTATTCTGGTTAAATAGTTGCGGGTGATCTATGATTGAGCTTTACAAAATCATTCCTGTTCGGGTTGAGCAGTATGCTTATATATTCAATTTATATCTTCAAAGCATCAGTTCATGAGTCGATTTTCAAAAAGTTAGGATTTTATGTTCTATTTCCAGGTTGACCTATTGATTGGAGAGCCATACTATTATGGAAATGAGGGAATGCTTCCATGGCAGAACCTGCGTTTTTGGTATGTCTTCAGTATAGTAATTTCTTTCTATGGTATGACCTGCTTTTGCTTATACATTTCCTTTCTCTATTTGATTTAGGAAGGACCGAACAATGCTTGATCCCATCCTCTCAAAGGATGTCTTGATAATGCCTTGTAAAGGAATGTTGAAGGCATGTGCTATGTCTCTGCCAGTAAGTTTGTATTATCACTTAACCCAGAGAAGGGAGGTCAAAAGAAAATAGGATATTTTGGCCTTTTTGTTTAATATTATGTTTAAATATTTTTTTCTGAGTATTCAAACTTCAAATGTGAATAACCTTTTATGCAGGATCTTTGGAACAGTCGCTGTTGCTTAAATGAGATTGAAGACTTTGATCAATCAATAGTAAATACTACTTTAGGTGCATGTGGTGAATTACCGGCTCCAAAAGAGGGACCTTGTCTGCCCTTTCCTATCTGGCAGTGTGGTGAGATTAAGGTAGTTAATACTCACATTCACGGAATTGATATTATGATGACACCTAATCATGGAATTGATATCTTGCAAGTATTTTGAATATGTTGCAGGAGCTCAGTGAGATATTTACTTTATTGCAGTTCGATTGCTCAAAACCAATTAGTCCATGTTATGGACAAGTGCAGGTATGAATCTACCTTATATGCAAAAGTAATATAGGTTACTAGAAATTCTCACCTAAATTTCATCATCTTCTTGAACGGTTTGCATATTTCTACAATATACCGATCTAGTTTCATTAACTGTGTTTAACTCCCATGTTTTGCTTAAACATGAGAATTCATCAGCTAGTTTACAGCATGATGTAACTTCTCTTGTCCGTTCATTCTTCTGGATCCATATACTTGACATCAAAGCTAGGATGTTAGCCCATTATGCATCTTGCAACTTAATTAAACATATAAGGTCAGTAGCAACTAGCAAGTTATATAAACCATGATGGAAGCCATTTTTTTTTTTCTTAAATTAACATATCTTGCACATCTAATCTTGGAAAATGTAATTCCTGCAGGTGAAATTCACTGAGCCTGGGATATGCCATGGGTTTGTCCTATGGATTGATTGGGTGATGGATGCAGACAATGCAATTGTGTTGTCAACTGGGCCGGGTAGGTATTTCTTTTTCTTTTCTTTTTTTTGGTTATACAATAGACGATAACCATTTCCTTCTCAAATCTCTCTCAATCTATCCTAAAATTCAAACTTGAAATCTTTAATATGAAAACTCAAGTTCTTAATTCTTTTGAAAACCCGGGTAGGTATTCCTAGAGAAGCTAATTAATTAATCATCTGCAGAAAAATGATTGTAGGAGATCACTCTTATCATTTTACATTGTTTAGTGCAGATCACAGATATTGGAAGCAGGGGGTTAAGCTTCT